CTGGCTACGTTGCGGTGACGACTCCAGCGGCCGGAATGGGAGAAACGAACGAGAAGAGCCTCCCGACTCCCCGAACGACTCGCGCGCGCATGCGCAGTGGCGTCGCGGATGCGTTCGAAGGCGAACCGTTCGTGTGGAAACGACCTGCTAAAACTCCCTATTATCTCGGCGATACGAGAAGGCAAATAACGGGCGAACGGAGACAACGCGTGTACGCACCACTTCTGCCAATTATATTTCATAGATCTTTGTGGGCAGAAGATGCCCGTTGTCAAAGCCAACTTCGACTGGCTCAAGTCCGTTTCAACACCAAGTTCGACTTAAAAACGCCGAAGCTGGATTTTACGTTTCATAGGCGCTCCCGCGAACTTCTTTCGTCGAGTCTCGTTCAAGTCCCGAGCGCTCGCGGTGCTCCCCACCTGGGAGCGAGATTATAGGCTGCAATTAAGCACACAAGTCCAGCACTTCGTGCTTGACGTTCACCCGTTTTTCAAGCTCTTACCAATTCGTGTTCGTAAGACGAGCGCTGTCTACCGCCAGGAGAAAGGGGCGACGACTCGGCGACGTCTTCGTGCGAATCAGCTTGGTGGTCTGGCTTGTCGTACAGAACAAATCCTAATTGTTTTGATCAGTAAGCGATTTCTCTTTCGAAGCTGAACAGAATCGCCGGTACCGCGAACAACAGTTCTGTAGTAGAGGTCCCACGCCCGTCGTGCGCCGCCCATCACTTAGTCCACTTCCTTCAGCCGTCCAGCCCGCGATTCCCGCCGCTATACGACGCCATGTTGAGAATTACGCAGAGAATGCACTGACTGCTTCCTGTTCTGTGTGGAACTTTTTGTTTTTCAGTCAACGTATTCACAGCTTTTTAGAAGCCGCAAACATTCTGTATAACATTTTTTTTATATCTTTGAATTTTGAGTGTGTGCCTTCGATGACCCACGAGTTTAATTATCTTTTGTTATATCCAAGGTTCTAAACCATAGAGAACGGCAGGTGGCCACGGAGAAGCGGTTTGAGTCACGCTCACGGAGTGAGTGTGACTCAAACCGGCCAGTTCTCGATCGGCGGTTTGCGGGCAAAAAGAAAACCAATTTTGAGCTTCAAATTGTTTTCTGGGTAGTTTAGCTCTCGTATGTCATCTACAAATAAAAACCTTGGCAAGCATAAATACCCCGTCAGCGTCTTTTTCAGCTTTGACTGTGTACACCCGCCGGCAATATGAAGCTTAACACCTTACCTGGTTTCTTGCCTGTTTTACGGCTCCCTAAAGCTATATTAACTCTCAACGTCTCAAATGGTACGTAGCTTGGGGGTCTAAACTTTGCGTTCTAGCCCTCTTCTGGAACAGAGCTTGTTCCAAAACTTGCAGGAACGTCAAAAACAAGAAGAGGGCTGTTCACCTTCATATCGCCCATGGGTGTACTATGGCTGGGCTGCATCACATCTGTGATCATCATCATCACAACTGTTTACCTCTATCCGAAAGAAAAAAAAATTCTTAATACCCTAGTGAAAAATCTTACGTGGATAAGAATTTTCTTGGTCCAATAAAAGCATATTATCAAATAAGATCCTATAATAACATAACCCTAAAAGAGTATATAAGAAGTTATAAGAAACTGATAAGCATATCTGATAACCTGTTAGTTAATCTTATATTGTACTTGTATGTTCTTACAAGGTTCTTGTATGCTCTTACATGATTTTATTTGATCACACGCGTTTATTGGACCAAAACAGGTATACATATATTTTTTACTAGGGTATAGCATCACTACGCCACTCAGCACCAAACATAAATGTGGACTCAATGCGCGGCTTACAACAGGTGTCATACTTGGACACTTTCCTGACCTATATATTATTCGGATGAGTTTGCACTCGTTCACACCTAAGCTGACGATAGAGCGGAATCTGCGCTCCGCTTATATCAATCAAACTTCCCGAATGCGTGCACTACGTGACTGCGCTCGCAGAGAGTGTTTGTCGAGCCTTCGGTTTGGTACATATCACTTTGGCGATATAAGCCAGCGATTCATCGGTCCATCTAGCACGCTTGCTCGCATCTAATGCTGGCTCAGATGTGAGCTGAGTTTCATAAAATTTGAGACAATAGAAAAGTGACACTTGTCTTATTTTAGAAGTATGGATGCACGCATTGACTGAACCATTTCAGTCTGGCTGCGGCTTGAGTCAACTAGCCATCATTTATGCTATATTTCAACGGTTAACCTATAACTGATATTAATAAAACTGGAATTATAAAAAGAAAAAAACAAACAAAAAACAACAGCAAAGAAACACAACAAACATTAAGGTTTTATTTTTTAGTATTTCCAGAATTGCTTTGTCAAGTCGAGCCGTAATAGAACATGTTTTCTAATCGCTCCTAGCGGAAACACTGAACTCCTAAAATATTTTGTTTTTAAGTGCCCGGATTGGAGACGTACGTCACAAAAATATACATATACAATACATACAAAAGCACAAGTTAGAAACACGTCACGATACTCAAATGAGCCGTGCAATCTAGGCTTTGCAATACTTTTTTTAGAGAGGGGGGGGGGGGGGGAGAGAGTTTTTGTGAGGCACGCGTGTTCTATCGCAGGCCTTAAAAAGAATTCGCGGTTCCTATCCGTATCGTGAAACGGACTGCGGCGATAGCCGAGACGCTGCTGCACAGTTAAGTGTCACCGCTAATGCATCATACAAAAGGCAGTCTCCGGTCACTAGAGAGTTTTAGGAAACCGTTTTTGCACATCCCATGCGGTACGAACCGCGCATGAGCTACCACGGAAGACGGTGTCTTTCAGGTGCTCTCTCACTGATCAGACATTAAGAAAAGGAACGGTACTCGTTGCAGACATAAGCAAGAATTACCTCCGAGTTCGAGGCGTGCTTGCTTCGTACGTACGCAGGCTTCCAACATGTCCGCAGACAGTTATTGTACGACCAATGTGAGGACCGTGGCACACGGAAGTAACTCGAATCGAGTCTGAAGTCTGTCTTTAGCACTGTGTACTAGCCGTATAGACCTTTTCATCCTCCTCCGCACGGGCGCTGCCATCTTGGAATCACGTGACGCGGCAGCCATTGGGTTGCTTCAAGTTGCTGCTCCGCTGTCCCCTCCGCGCCTTGGCGGATGCGTTGTATTGGTTGTAATCGTGTTTTTCGTCGCGTTTCGCCGCGCTTTCTTGCCTGACTTCGGAAAATGTAGCCCGATACATCTACTCGACGACTAAGACATCACGAGGGTTCAAAGGTCCTTATGACAACTGCGGTTTGTTTACTAATAGCGGTGGAACATTCTCAGCAAGAAGCGCGCATATTTATATTGTGTATTTCGGATCGGAAGGCGTCAAGAATAATCAGCGCAAGGAGACTACCTGTACTTCCTGAAAGTATCGTTCTTTGTATTTATAATATATCTAAATCTGTTTCTTTTGATTATCTGAGGAAACTCGCGGACGAGATAGACAACGAACGTTTAACTTGTATTTTATCTGAGGCTAGAAGTACTGCTACGTCAACATCAGGTGATTTCTTTGTTCATAATAGCACACCTACATATGTGTATGAGGTTCTCAATCTTTTTTCGCGACGTAGTCGTTCGGTTGGTCGGTTTACTTATGAAGTTGAAGAAAATGTATATTGTGCTCGCTCCCATTTCGACAGTCATTTAAATGATTTATTGATTATATTTAGATAACCAGTTGGGGCTTTCCGCTTAAGAAACTGCCACGACAACAGTAGCGAGTTTTTGAATAGCGTGCACAAAGAAATAACGTTGTTTCTATTTGCTAATCCAAAACGCGGTTTGGGTTTGGAATATGCGCAATAATGACGACGCTTTTTTTTTTTTTGCGTACACTGTTTTAATTTTTGTTAGTATCTAAAATCCGCAATATTTAACGGGAAAAAAGAGAAAAGAAAGAAGCCGTTTTCATAACAATTACTTGAGTCCAGGAATGTCGATGGCGAATAGAGCTTTACTTTTGGTGCGTGGCGACGCCGAAATTTACAAAGCGAGTCTGTTCAAACAAAGAAATATTTGTTCACACAGGTCTGTGAAGTGATGCCTAGCGCTAGAATTCAGCCAAACTTTCCGAGGTATTTCTCCTCCTGCAGCCTTTATTTTATCTGGACAATTTTACGGAAGACAAATGTCGAATATAGTTTGACGGGCCTGTCACTTATATCATATCTTGAGTAAGCAAATGTTCATATAAAAATAATTTATTCCGAAGGATCAATATCGCGAAATGCTGCTTGTGAGTACTTTTAGCAGGGTTGATAATATAAAAAAAAATTTCCTACTCGGCCTGTCAAAACATGCTCAAGTACTGAATTAAAAAAAAAAAGAGGCCGAGACGACACTACTTGTTTATATCAATTATCTGTGTCAATACACAATACGTTTTTAGTTTGCGAAGTTCACTAAAGGTTGGGTGCCCCCAAAAACCAAACAGTAAGTAGTAAACTCGCGAGTTCATCTGTTCTGGCTGATTCGGCAGATTGCTAATCAACCTGTCGATATGCTTCTTTATATTCACGTGTTAGTCTCTTCATTAGTTTGTTTTTCTGGAAACTGGTGGTCATGGGGCACGGCCGTGGACGATGATAATCTGCCCTATACATCAGTCAGGCGTTTCGCAACCGACCATAATCAGATATATCAAAAGATTTGGTAAAAAAAAAAAGCCCGTGATTTAGGCTCAAATACACCTCGTCTTCCTCAAAGTGGCTCAATACCACTGTTTCATTGGTTGTGTGCTACAAGGAAAAGAGTCGTATCACAAAATTACGCAAAAAGAATGTAAAACAGCAACATAGCCGCGTTCACGTTGAAAACGAAACCAACCAAATTGAAGCAACCTAATGGCGCCGAGTGCATCAGCGCCCTCTATCCGCCGGTGAGGCAACTACTGAAATGAAAAGGTCTATATGACAGCGGCTTTAAGGTTCACACGACACATCTGAATTCGGACGCGATGCAGGTGTCCGGCTGTCTTTCGTGCGCTGCCCCAACGGAACTGCCTGCCCGGACGGCAGCACCTGCTGCCTGCGGAGCAGCGGACTTTACGGCTGCTGCCCGTACCCGTTCGCTGTGTGCTGCAGCGACCACCAGCACTGCTGCCCGGAGGGCTACCAGTGCAACCTGTCCAACGGCAGCTGCGTCCAGATCAGCACATCCGTCAAGGAGATCCAGACGCTGCTGACCGCCATGGTCCTCTCACCGCAGACCAGCGTCAACTATAAAGCGAGTGAGCAGATTTTTGGTGTAGACTTATTTTGCTAACCCAACTGCCTGCGCGCATGGGTAGTAGAGGATCGCGCAGGCACGTGGTTACCAAGTTCGCCCGCTATGAAGAGTTGGCTTACGGCAATAAAGTAATATGTTCCTGGACAACTGGTCGTGGTGAAAAATTATCGGGTCCCCTAGAAGGTTACGTCACCGAGCAGCTTCGACTACATCACGAAGGATGGGGGATTTAGTTGGTCGTTTTTGAGAAAGTTAGAAGTGTTAAAACAGGGGGCATAAGAAACACACACACACACACATAAAGTGAGCAAATCTCAAAGAGAAAGATGACGAGGTAGCGCGAAACCTACATAAATGAGGAAGTAAGGAGAAGACGCCGTTCTGAATGGACGTTGTTTTGAGCTCGCTCCGAAAATCGAAATCAGCTATGGTAGATAACGCTGCAGCCACGTTTGCTGCAGTGCTACGCAAAATCTGGTCCCAACTCTCGGCTGAACCAGCTTCCGCAAAGCCTGCTACTACCACTCCACCATAACTGCAGCTGGACCCAGCCCTGGCGACGTTCACTGCCACACTAACACCTCCAAGCCGGCCAGCTCTTGGCCCGCCACAGGGTATGTTGAACTCGTGGAAGACTGTGGTAGGCCGCTACCTTGACCAAACATCCGATGCAGGCATGCATGCCTGCCTCCAAAGCGCTATTTCGGAACTCCGTTCTAAACGGGCTTCGAAGGGGATCACTTCAAGGTCACAGCGAAGCAACGCTACGCTGAATCATCGGTCTCACTGCAAGCATGGTAATATATTGCAGGAAACTCCACGAACAGGAGAAAAACCGCAAAGCGCAGGTGCAGCGGGAAATCTTAGGGCACCTGAAACCGTAAACATGGAAACGACGGAGCAACCGACGACGACGACTACTACGGAGACCTCTGTCGGTGTCCCTTTGTCGGAAGAAGCAACGGCAGGCTTTTCATCGCATGCATTCTCAACGGACGTCGAGAAAACAGCAGCAAATCAAGATGCTGGGGGTCTATGGACGACAGTACTTTCCAAAAAGGCGACCAAGAGAACTCGCCTGAGTGCGCATCTAGTCCCAAAGACCGGACAGAACTCGCCAGCCCCTAAAGATCGTGAGCGCTACGTCGGCACTCTGCGTCAGGGCAGAAAAATCGACGTCACAGCCCTTCTCAAGACAGGATAATGGAGGCCATCACGTGCCCTCTCGGTCTCAAGCCAGAGATGGTCTCCATCAAGACCACCAAGGAAAGCAACACCATCACAGTCCTGATCGAGTCCGAGGCCTGAAAACGGGCACTACTGGCCATCAAGGAAATCCAAATCACCGATCAACAACCCCTAGCCGTCCAGGCGTACGAAGCCATCGGGGATTATGAAATCCGCGGGGTCATCTACATGATAGATAAAGGAGAAGACAACGCTTCTCTCCTAGCCGGACTGCAATCCAACGGGCCGGCGATACTGGCAGCTCGACCAATGAGCAACGGAAGCAGAACCGGCCTTATCACCTTCCAGGGACCTCATCTGCCCCGAACCGTTTGGTACAGACGAAACGTCCCGGAAGTATATTCGTACAGACCACGAGCTGTGGCATGCAGCAACTGTCACAAGATCGGTCACAAGCAGGACATTTGTCCCGAGCCTCAGGTTTGCTCCACGTTCGGCAAGCCCCACGAAGAGACCATGGACGACCAAGGCAAAGTGACCTGCCCTTCCCCCATTCCTTTCTGCCGGATGTGCCAAATGAATGGGTCCCTGGCCACGGACAAGTACTGCCCAAAAAGAATCGACGTTGTTCGCAGGATCCGGGAGACTGCGCGAAAGCGCGCCGCTCCCCTAAAGAATCCAGGCAGCTCGAAACTCACTAAACAGGCCTTTCAGACGAAACGGAAGGGCTGTAGGCGATCTGCTCCACCCAACCCTCCTACTCCAACACCCACCCCTCCCGCACAAACGGCTACGGTTCATCAGGTACTTCCCACCATGCAGGGGATACTCCAGGTTTTTATGGCCATCGCTGCCCAAATGGGCAATGCGATGCAGAGGAGTCCTAACTCCAAAGCATGGCAGTAACCATTATTCAATGGAACTGCCGGGGCCTGCGGCTTCGCGCTGCAGAACTTAGTGTCAAACACAGCAATAGACCACAAGAACGCCCAGATGCTTACCTCCTGCAAGAGGTCAACTGCACCACTATAAAGCTGAATGGCTATAAGTCCTACGCAGACCCCTCAGTACCTTCCGTACCGGCGGACCGAGTAGGACAAGCGGTGATATACCTACGCACAGACTGGCCGCAACACCAGGGGCCCTATGTTGCGCTTTTTGGACTCCCACGGCGACTAGGGAGAAAGGAGTGACGTCAACAACGCAGCAAACGCAGATTGGATGTTGACTGGTGAGAGTCTCTGATGACGAATTTCTGCAGAAGAAAACAAAGCCCACTTTTTATTTGTTTTCTTCTGCGGAAATTCGTCATCAACGACTCTCATCAATCAACATCCAATCTGCGTTTGCTGCGTTGTTGACGCCACTTCCTTCTCCCTAGTCACCGGGGCTGTCCAAAAAGCGCAACATAAAGCTCCAGCTAGGTCAACCTCCAACAGTGGTGCACGAAACACCAGGAAGTGGTGGCTGTCCGAACAACCCAACAAAACACTTCTGTTTTTCTGGTGTCTGTATACTACCGGCCTGGGGCTTCCTCCAAGGAACCCAGGGACCGTAGATGGATTACACATTTCGACGTTCTTTACCCGGGAGAGCAGAATTTCATCGGAGGCGACTTCAATCTTCAACACACAGCATGGGGCTATGCGCGGGACACCTCTGCCGGTCGAGATCTGATCGATGAAATGATCCACCACCGATACACCCTCACGAATACCCCAGGAGAGAAGACACGCCTAAGCTGGAGCATTAGGCAGAATCACACCACCACTGACCTCACCTGAAATAACAACCCGCACACGACGAGCCAAACCTGGAAGCTGGAGGCAGACACTCGTGGGAGCGATTACCTACCCATCAGAATAGGCCTGGCACTCACCGGTCCGACGGCTTCGGAACCTGGGAAGTGGCTCATAAGGGGGGTAAACTGGGAACTCTACCGGAACCGACTCGAAAACAGCAAGGCATTCACTCTCTGAGACGTCATCAAGGAAGACATCGCAGCTGCGACAAAAAAAAAAACAAACAAAAAAAAAAAAAAAACAAGTAAAGCTCCATGACCCCACCCCGGATCTTCATCTGCTGAACCTTTGGGCCCGGCGGTTGAGAGTGCTACAGAAGAGGCCCGAAAAATACGAAAGCTCTGAGGGTGTTCACCCGAGTCACTATAGCAGCTCGCAAGTATGCAGCGCAGCTTAACCGGCCAAGGTTGCTGTACTTTAGTGCCTCGCTCCCGGAAAAGACATCAATTCGCACGCTATGGGCCGTCAGTAGAGCTATGCTGGGCCGGAAGAGGGATCGCGCGGCGACACCTAGGCTCGCACTCAAGACAAACAAGGCTGTGGAAACATTGGCCCAAGAAGCGGGAGACACGGTCTTCCCACAACCAACAGCGGCCAACCCCCACCGACGGCGGAAGATTCATATGAACGGGTCATCATCAACGAAACAGACCCCATATCTCTACCTTTCGCCAGGGGGGAAATGGAGGAAGCACTGCATCGCGGCAAACCTAACAGCGCTCCAGGACCGGACGGAATCACCACCGCCATGCTCCGAAACCTTGCCGAAGCCTCAGAGACCACGCTCCTCGAAAACATCAACGAGGTGTGGAACTCCGGCAACATCCCAGATCAATGGAAGATGCGTTTTGATTTTTCTTTAAAACGTTACATAGTTTGGTGCAGCGGACAGGATGCAGAACATGGGGATACAAATTTCTTTGTTTCTCGAAACCTTGAGCGTGTTGTTTTCATCCGCTACCAAGTTTAAGATGAATCAGCCGTGGAGCTGCCAGAGGATGTCCCACCTCCAAAGATTATCGAAGTCGTCCTCCAAAAAGATAAGGTTCAGGCGCAGAACATGTTTATTAAATTACAATGGTTCAATAATTAGGGGAGGGAAAAACTTCAGTGCATTTACTAGTAACTGTCATCAGAGGAGCGGATGGAAAATATGTGCGTCGAGATCAATTCAACCGTTAGTTTTTCATAAGCATATATATAAATATTTATTTTTTTTCAATGTAATCACTTTTTTGTATTTTTCCTCGGGAGAGGACCATTGAAGTAATTCAAATATTTGAAGAAGAAAAAAAAAGATAAACACCAAAAAAAAACATTTGCCAATTTTTATTTTTAATAAATTATTATTGAAAAATTGCGGCCTACTTATGGCATCCGGAACTCCCGTTCTCGTCCGTGTGACCGTGAGGGCGCAGCGACTTTCGCGTTTCTGTCAACACTCACCGACAATTTAAGAAATGCAGGGGTTTGGATGTCCGCGAACATCTCATTATCAGTGCGCAGCCAATGTTATTGCAGTATTTTAGCCGACAAGGACAGCCGTGACCGATTCACGCGCAGGCAAAACGCGCGAAGTTAACGAGCACCGCTCTGCGTTTCTCGAATTCTCAGTGACTCTGGGAACAAAGTCATAGCGTGACGCATTCTTAGCGATCTATGAATACCGACAAGATTGGGGAATCTTAATTCGCACACTGTTCTAAAGAGTCGGCATGTCACTTAATTCGCAGACACTACCGCTTGCGCATCGTACAAAAAAAAAACAAAAAAAAAAAAAAACACGAGGTGTTTGTTGCGGAAACAATGATAGCATTATCTTATCTGCCACACACGACTATACTTCGTTTCAGCTTCGGTCCGAGCCCGGCCGATGTTATGAGCCAAAGGGCCAATCAAACAACGCAAAAAGCGCAGCGTCATGGGGTTCTCTCTGCGCTTGATAGGACTAGCCGGCGGAGGAGCGCGCACAGTGAGACGGCGAATACCGGCTGGTCCTATGAACTGCAGAGAGCACGCCATGACGTTGTGCCTCTTTCGCTGTTTGATTGGCCCTTCGGCTCATAACATCGGCCGCGCTCCGACCGAAGCTGAAACGAAGTACAGAGCATCTTTCGGGAGCATGTTAACTTCGTCGTATAGCTATGAGCGTGCCTGCAGACTGTTTTTTTTTTTTTTTGTTTCTTTTTTTGTGCGGGATATTTACAGTATAACCGTTGCTTGACGCAACGATGCAGTACGCTTCAAGGCCTAAACATTCATCAATATAAATGGTAGTACAATGACCTAAGAAAAAAAAATGCTCCTTCGGATTCCAAGCCTCGAGCTCACAACACCTGGTTTACATGTTGTTAGGGAGACCGCTGTAAGTCCGATATTAAATTATACGCAAATTTTTTTTTTTTTTTCAATGTCGGGGACACGGTGTGTTTTGAGAGCCCGTGTGATGTAAGCGCAAATCGACATGTGAATCAGTTTACCAGCATAATTGTCGATCAGTTAATAGGTGAATAGGTAAAAAACACAAACATGCACAAAAAAAAAATGAACAAGCTGGCGTCAGCTGAGAAAAAAAAATGGCAGGGAACAGTCACCAGGTTCTAAAAGGGCGCAGCATCTTTGTGGGTGGAACAAGGGAAGAACCACTAGAACATATGGGTACTACTGGAACTCCAGTATCTACTCGCAGGCAACGCCCTTGATCTAGTAGCTTTCTTGCCCACGCGTAATTTTGAAGTATAAAAGCGGACGTTTCCTTTTTCGGTTTCTCCTTCGTAGAACTTGACGACGTTCGTGTTGTCGACAGTAAGAACCCCAGAATTTCGTCATCGAGCTTTGCAATCCCCGTAGTGATGATATTTAAACGCGGCTCAACGAGCACTTTGTGCGGTGACGATATTTAAACGCGGCTCATACGGTGAACACGAGAACTTTGTGAGCATTCGATCTGGGCTTGCGTCCATCAATGCTTCGACAAGCATTCCGGTAGTGGCTTCTGCCCAATCGCTGCGAAGACGGAAATAGCCGAACCTTAACAATTCGTGGCACTCAGCGCGAGCCTTGTGCTTTGCCACCCCGAGCGCGTGGATATGTAATCGACATTGACAGTATACGATTGTCAGCAAATCACGTAGGCATTTGTTCCGACTGCGAGTTGAGGCGGTGTACGCTCCGATCGCTTTTCATGCATTTTTACAGCGGAGCTGTTAAGGGCTAGTTCCCCCAGGATCGTGTCCCCCGCAAAGAAATAAAGACGCCAAACTTTGGACACCTACCGCCATCTATGAGCGAAGGCGGCAAGCTACGTATCTGGTTGCCGCCGTCGCTCATAGATGGCGGCAGCCTTTCCACTCTGGCTTGCCGACTTGCGGCCGGCCATTACTTTCCATTATTCAGCTCCGCTGGTCTTCCTTCTTCACCAGAGTGGAAAGGCTGGAAGTTTTTTTCCTTGGTAAATAAGACGGTCGTCAGCAAAAAGGCTAATAGAAGAGGAGACACTCATTGGGGCACCGCCATGTTTCTCCGCATCCCTACCGAGCCAGTCACGTGATTGAAAAATCCCTCTCCCAGGTACTGCGGCTAATTTTAGCCGCGGTTAGCACTTTCGAGCAAACGGGCCCAGGAGTCTCTACGGCGTCATGAGGAGTGTGGACGTGCGCATGTGGATTTAGAAAACCGCATATGATTTTAGAAGTATCTTGGTCTCGCACTGCAACCTTTAGAAAGCGTTGCACAGAACATAAAACAAAATTAGCACCCCGTTTGTTTGTTTTTTGGCATCAAATAACAGTGTGAGTGTGTGAGTATAATGATTGGCTTCTGGCATGTTTCAGTCGAGACGGTGCAGTGTCCCGACAGAAAGTACTGCCAAGACGGCCAGACCTGCTGTCTTCTCTCGGGAGGCCGGTACGGCTGTTGTCCGTACCCACACGCCGTGTGCTGCAGCGACCACGCGTCCTGCTGTCCGGAGGGCTTCAAGTGCAAGGTGTCCGCTCACACTTGTATCGCCGGCAACTCAACGGTTCCCATGCTGGAGAAAGTCAACACGGTCGATGACAACCCTCCGGAAAATTCGGTTCCTGGTGAGAAGATATGTTTTTTATTCATCTATAAACAAAACAAAACAAAAATACACAAGCTTGATCATACTGACAAATACCGGAAAGTACAAGATATGTTGAGTGCAAACTGTCACCTAGCAGAATCACCTCCCAAAAATCGAGGTCACGTGACTTGGGGTAACATGACGTAGTCACGTCACGTCAGCTTCCCGATAAATTTAGCGGAGAAATCGACATCAGGCGACCACGTCGCGCCGGTTCTGCATGGAAGGCTGCCCCGGCGGAATCGCAACCGAAACTACGTGGCACGCAGACAAGATGCCTTTTAGTGTTCGTGTCGTGTTTTGCCTGCAGTCTCGGGGTTTATGTCATGATCAGTATAAACCGGCTCATTTGCGCCCCCTCAGTGCCACATGTGCCGAGCGCCGCGGCGCCGCTATGTTTTCCGAGAGAAGATAAAAAGTCGGGAGGAGACATCACTCCGGATTTTGATTTTCGGTATTTTAAAAAGAAAGGCCCTAGTGCGTCCGCAATCGCGTTAAAAAAAAGCATGTTTTGCGTATACCGTTATAGAATATAATTGAAATTTCGGTTAGAAAATTTCTAAATTTTATAATCGATTACGGCACAAATAAAAGGAAGCGAGGAGGTGAGAAGGGGGAGAAAGGGTGCCAAAGGTAAAATGGTGCGCACGCTCGTGGGCAAATTCTTTTTCGCGCTGTGGTATTTTTTGCATGCTTAACATTGTGAAAAAAAAATCTTTGGGGTGTTAGTGTTTTTTAAGGCTACGACGTTTATAATAAAATAAGAACGTGAGGAACCTTATCAAAGCCTTTGAGAAATCTATAAATATAGCCAGTTCTAGAACCCTGGTCAGAAGGGGAGTGAACATCACTAGTAAACAAGTTCAGGAGGTGTGAAGATTATAAGCGATAAAGTTCAGGTGGCGCCTCCACAGTGTACGTGTTTCGGGAGCCTTATAATATTTAGCAGAACTGGTTGTTTATTCACCTAGTAGAACCACCAGAAGCCTCTACGGCGTTATGGGAAGTGTGAACGTTCGCATGTGAACTTAGAAAACAGCACATGTTTTCGGAAGTATCTCGGTCTCGCGCTTCTACCATTATAAAGCGTTGCACTGAACATAAAACAAAAGAAACACTCCACTTCTTTTTTGTATCACGTAGCAGTGCGAGTATACTTATAGACTTCTTGCATGTTTCAGTCGATAAGATCCAGTGTCCCGATAAAAATTACTGCCAAGACGGCCAGACCTGCTGTCTTCTCTCGGGAGGCCGGTACGGCTGTTGTCCGTACCCCCACGCCGTGTGCTGCAGCGACCACGCGTCCTGCTGTCCGGAGGGCTACCAGTGCAAGGTGTCCACTCACACTTGTACCGCCGGCAACTCAACGGTTCCCATGCTGGAGAAAGTCAGCACGATCGATGACAGCCCTACAGAAAATCCGGCTCCCGGTGAGAAACAATGTTTTTAAGGCGAAAGCCTTGTATGTCCCATTACGGGAAAAAGCGTCGGCGTTGTGCCCGAAAGGTGGCCATTAAAAAACGTCATCAAGCACGCGCCGCTCAAAGTCGAAGCGGACGCGCCTCGGAAATATATCACAAGGAAAAGCGCAGCAACACAAATGCTTCGTGGCGGAATCCGTGAAGCTGGGGGGGTGCGTAGTGGGGGAGTGTGATGTCACTACCGGGAAGCCGTGTGCAAAAGAAAGACTCAAATACACACACCGGACAGAATTCCGTAGAAACTAAGCATTACTCGAAAACATTTCACCCGCGGGACTACAATACTTTCGCATTCCTACACGTAAGCAGTCATAAATGTTTTCGACGTGTTTTATTCATCCATAAAAAAAATACATATGCTTGATCATGCTAGCAAATACAGGGAAGTACAAAATGTGTTCAGTGCAAACTGCCACTTTGCAGAATCCCCTCCCAGAAATTGGGGTCACTTGACTTGAGGTAACGCGACGTAGTCACGTCTCGTCAATTTCCCGCTAAAGTTAGCGGACAAATCGACATCGCGTGACGTGAGGTGACATGACTTAGTTACGGGACGTCCATTCCCCTGCTAGATTTAGCAGAAAGATTGACGTCACGTGGCAATAATTTCCTTGCTAAATTTAAAAGGTGAACTCAACGAGACTGCTCTTCATGGCGGTGTTCTCATAGCATTCGGGTGATAAAACAGATTCTGTGTTCAAATAGCTTGAGCGTCTAGGGGCAAACATTGGTAAATAAAACCTAGATTAAATTTAACTAAGCCCCATCATAGATTGGTAACCTCGAGGTGACGCAAGAGGTTCCGTGAGGCAAGTGGTTTAGACTTAAACCGTTTGTCAAAATTACTGCGGCTGAGTGGTTTAGACGTAAACCGTAGACTTTTCGGTTTTAACCGGAAACCGCCGAGAAGCATCCGCGGGTTCCAAAAATAGAAAACCGGTTCAAATTGATTCGTTGTCACTAACCTTCGGTTGTGTCAAAAATACAAAATCAGTTTAAATCTGAAAACACCGATTTGTTGAAATCGGTGCTTTTATGTTTAATACCGAAGAACTTGTTTCTGAATATTAAACTGGAGGGGTTTATTCTAGACCTTGATTTTAACAGGTGAATATCAATGGGAAATGAATTGTGATTTGCAAGGCGCTGAGCAAAAGCAATAAATAAACGGCTAGTGGTTGGGCACCGCCAACTAAAAAGATATAATACAAATTCATTTATTTTCTGGCACGATAATGTATATCAAAGTGAAATATTAATAAAAAAATTAGTTCAATTACCTTCAGCCGCAATTGAGGGAAATATTACCTTGTGCAAGCTGGCTTGGCCAATCTTGAACCTTGTGGGAATAAAAGGAGGGAGGATTACGCACCGTTACGTCCGGGGACCGGTCCGGTGCTCAAAGGGGAAATCCGATGCCCGTCCCACAACGCGGCCGACGGCAACCAGTGAGGGCGGTCGCCGCGCCGGGTTCGGCCAACGCCATGCCCACAACGATGATCCCGGTATCCAACAGCATTTATTGAGTACCAGGGGTCCCCAACAAGACACTGCGGTCAAGCGAGCCGTGGACACAGTGTGCCCGCAGCACCCGCCGACCTGCGAGCCAAAGGGGTAAATGCGAGCGGAGTCATCGCTGGTCGGACGAGCTCACGCCGCTACCCGTCATCGCAGGAGTTCGGGGCCAGGGCTCTCGGCAGACGGACGTCAACAGTGGGGACGCGACTGTCAGAGCCCGGGGAATCACTAGCGTTGAGTCATCGCCGGTCGGACAAGCTCACGCCGCGACTCGACCCGTCGCCCGGAGTCCAATCCAGGACTCCCCGACCGCACGGCCGTCCACTCGGAGGGCAGGCCCGACTCTCCCTCGCGCGATGTCGTTCTTCCCCCGAAATCGGAGAGACGCGATGAGGAGTGCGAGAGAGTAGGTCAGCATGGTGCCGTATTCTCCCCGACACGATACGGAGCGACCGGGCTCGAAGTCTGACGGCTTCGCCCGGAACGTCCGCAGCTCACGCCCTCTCGGGGAAGGGGAACTAGTGGCTCCCACAACCTATACAATTGAAAGTGCAATAACATTTGCTGTAGAGCCAGGAGTGCCGCCCTTACATCCATAAACGCCACGCCATTTTGGTTCTCAGCAGTTATGGCGCATATCTGAAGAGAGAATGAGCAAGCGGGCCTAGAATTATATTCCGTTCTCCAGTCGAAGCTACAAGCGCGAGCTTGCCCGCACACCTCACATTGGGACGTGCCATAGGCTATTCCCGGCGAGAAGTTCGGGTATCGCCCCCTGGCTGAATTCTTTCACAACTCAGAGTGAGGATACTTCAATTTCCTCTGCTGGTGTATGCATGTGCGATAATACAAAGCGTCCATGCCCTATGGAAATTAAAACGTAACCGCGTGGGTAGCACGTGCACTACGCATTGTGAGGAAAGCCGAAGCGCCCCTAGTGAGCTTCTCACCGCGAATGGACATGCCTAGGGACAATAAATGAGTTACGCTTAGAGTATCGGCCAAGGTTAGTATCGGCGTTGCTGACGATCGGCGTTAGTACTGCCGATTCGCAGAATTCAAGAGTGCGACTTCCTCAGCATTAGATTCGGTGTTAGGAAGCTCATGTAATATTGCTTTGCTCTAGATTGACGGAAGAGCGTTTCCCGTGATTTCAGATAAAGCTTCATATCACTGGCAACCACGGTATTAAACACCAGGATGGGTAAGTGCCGTTTCCCTGAAGCTTAGCTTATTGTTTATGACATTACCAGCTGAACATAAAATAATAAAAGCACACATAAATAATCATACACCCACACCGCTGAACTAGCAATCATTTTATAATGCCACTTATTTCTTTTCCATAAGGGATTATTTTGTTGCTATAATTATTATTTATTGATACTGTTAGCCCGAGGGCCGATACAGGGTGGAGTTCCAAAGACGATCCCTTATGGCCGGTGTTTTGGCCGTTACACACACACACACGCACACACTAAACTCACCAGTTTAGAGCGTGTTAAAACGTCTTGGAACTGGAGTTGCACTACTTTAGTGCACGCAGTATACCGTCGCAAGTTGGCATATAGAAACTGAATTTAGAGCACTATAGAAATTGTGAACAGCCTAGTGCACACAAAAGCACGCGTACTTAAATTATGATAACCATGGTAACTCATTTTCAAAACCACTCGACGAGTTTATTGTTACTATATCATGGGTGAGGCAGTTTTATTCCTCTATTGTTCTGGAGAAAAAAATAATATTTGAAAGTATCTATACGTGCCATTGTGGGTGTTATCTGGTTCGGGTGATGGCTTCGGACAAAACGAGCTGATCTTGGTTTTATGTATTAGTGAATGTCAAAAAAGGGGGGGGGGGGGGGGGGTTGCAAGAGGTTGCGATGCACTGAGTATATTAATTTTTAATCTTGCTATTTTTTTGGCGTTGCTCGAGATGTCGCTGACTGAGTTAGCCGTCCTATGTCTTGACAGTATTAACCTCGCTGCTCGTCTCTAAACGTTTTCAACCCTGTTGATTTGGTAAGTTCTATACGGGTCCCATACTACGCTTGCATATCCAGTGTGGGGCGCACTGGTTAGGTATCGGAATGAAGGTGCTTTTTATCTAATCTCTTCTTCATCCTTTTTTGTCGAAGTAGCGCTTCTGTGGACCCTCGCGAGACTCCTATCTCCTTGGGGTGGAGTAGAATCGCCTTTTCCTCGATGGCGAGGGCTTCCATGACTAATACCCGTGCCACACGGGCAATTCGAATGCCATTTACAACGAATGACATTTGAGCGGACGGCCAATCAGCGCGCGACACTCCGGGCGTAGCGCATTTCGCGCGCGATAGATTGCGGAGTGGGCTAAAGCGCACACCCAGCTCGACGCGCGTGGAGCGAAAGCTCGCGCTGGCCCCACCCCTGCCCGTTTCCATCTGGATGAGCTTCGTACCGGCGTACGGTCGTGTATCACTACTGCGTAATGCACATTAAAGACCCCAGGCTAGCGGTTGTACTGCACTGGCTAAATTGCTCATCTACAGCGTGTGACTCGTCACAACTTTAATGGCTGACCAACTACACGCTGTATAAATATCCCCATAACCCAATTTGCTTTTTTTGCGATAGATTGCGAGCTGATTCGCCGATCACACAAATGTCATTCGTTGTAAATGGAATTCGAGTTGCCCGTGTGGCACGGGTGTTACTTAGTGTCTCTAGACGTGGCTTTATAGCGCAAGCGCTCGTTCTACTAAATAGCGTTTCAAAGCTGAAAGCTCGTGCTCTCGCTTTCGTCGACTTGGTTGCGGTTCCAGTTTAAAGGCTGGTTCAGACACCCTCATTTTGTTACGTTACGTTACGCTACACAAGCTTACATCTGCTCACGCCACAAGTCACCGGTACATCTGTGCTTCATGTTAAGCGCCACTGGCAGTTCAACGAGACAGCTTATGGCACGCGACATTCGAGACACGAGTGTTTCGGTGACTTATGCTCGACGCAAGAAAACGCAAAAAGAGGTGCTGTCTGAGCCGCGGCCTTAAGGGTGGACGGAGTATTAGCGCCAAGATGTTTTGGTGGCGCCCTCTCATGGTTTTCTGTTCGTGTCGTCAAGACCAAGATTTGCCTCCGTCACGTCCCGACCTGTATAATCATGTCTACTTATCATCAGTGGCAAGCTATCATCTCCACAATGCGTGAAACAGCATGATGCAAGCTAGGAGTTATTGCATTCCTAAAGCAAGGTCCGTCAAAGTTTTGTAGACTGACATTGTTCTTATTTCTGTGGATGAAAGCAAAATTAATCCAAAACGGGGCGTCACAGTCAGCGTTTCGTCAATTGCGCCGATGTTGACCACAGCGACGCTTTCGGTCACGCGCGTGGCCAATATAGCTCCCGAATACCTTTGACCGCATTGACACCTAAAGCTGTCTGAGCGTCGTTGGTTACGGCATAGCGTCCATCAGTGACGACCTATGCGGAGCGCCAGTTCATCTGCTTCTTTTCCAGGGGTTGTGGTGGCGTCAGAACGCTGGGGTCTTATTGGCTGTGATTGAAGGATAGTGGATAGACCTCAAAGCTAACTGCCTTGAGGTCTACCCAGTATTCTGCCAATAAAATCCAATCAGAGCTCGGCGTTCTGACGTCACCACAACCCCTGCAAAAGAAGCAGACACACTTGCGCTCTCCATAGACATCCTTGGACGGATTAAGCAGCGGTCGCACGGCTAATACGTCATTTAGAAAACAGTCGGCAGACATTGTCTGCGACGTGTTCCTTCGTTCTGTGGCGGTCCCGTTACATTGGCCATAACAAAAGTTGTCTGCAAACACGTTTCAAGCACGTATGAAGCAAACAAACTTCGAGCATGCTTGAGGCCGCTCCGCAGATCATTCTGTCATTATGTCTACGGCGAACGCTGTGTCTTTTGTACGGTGTATGAGCTTCGTGACAGCGGGTGTAGAATCAGACCGCGATGATCGTCCAGGTCGCAGCATGTTTTCTATAGATCACCTCCGTCTGCAATTGGAGGTTTCACACATCCGTGTGCACGGTGTACACAGTCCAGCTCGTCCCGTGTCCTGACGGCACGAGCTGTCCCAGCGACATGGTCTGCTGCTTGGCCTTCCCCGGAGTTTACGGTTGCTGTCTGGGAGCCGACTCGGTCTGCTGTCCGTTGCGGGGGTACTGCTGCCACCACGGATACAAGTGTGGTCCCGACGACGGCTGCGTGACCGACAACACGACGCTGCCTGCGATAAAGAAGATCATCGTGCCCGGCATCGAACTGCGTCCACTGACGGCGCCTGGTGAGTGCCGCTGGCTACGAGGGCCCAGGCAGGCTGCACGGTCCCGACACGTGCTTCTGGGGGAGGGGAACCTCACCAGAAAAGTGGACGCGAGACAAACGTCCCACGGAAATAGCCAACAAGAAAAGGGCGAGTGACGAACACGTCTTCCTGAAGACAAATGTGCTGGAGCAACTGTTTCGTGCTTGTAGAGGCGCAGTGCCCCGAATATAGGATACGCCTCAAAAAATGGCATGCCGCTGAGATATTGAGACAAAAGAACGAGGTAATTTCCACGGGAAAGATGCAAGGGCGCATGATGCAAGCTTCTCAGCCTACGATGCTCGAACAGCTTATGCGTTATACGACAGAAACTGCGAAGGTATGGTGAACCAACAATTTTTCAGCGTGCATGGCAGAAAAAAATGTGAACAAAAAGTATATTGGGCATGTGAGATAAAACGCTAGCAAATACGCGGCAAAACAAATGAACATGGAGAATGGTGTGAACCGAAACTCAAACAAGGCTGAGAAAGGTAGTAACCGACACATTTTATAACCACGAAAATTTAAAGCATCTCGAGCTAGCAGACGTCGAAAGGACAGCAAGTGACAAGAGAGTAGACGACAATTATCTGCTATTTCTTAGTCAGAAAGTTGTGATAGAGCGGATCTCAGAACAATATAAAAGAAAAATACAGCCAAAACGACACCGACGCATAGAAAATGGTAAAAGACAAAAGGCGAAACAGTAGAGGAGATGATTTTGTAAGAAAGCGACTTTAACACACACAACGACGGACCAGAACAGAGTTGTCAGCACAAAGTATAAAAGGCCGTTAAAGTTTCACAAATCCATGAAAGCAACTCACAACAAAGCGGCAGGAGAGAAAGCAGTCCGCGGGCAAAACACCCATTAACAACAGAAAAATAAAACGCAAATGACAAAACAATAAAAAATAAAGGAAAAAATAAAAAGAGCGCAAGGCAGTGACGGTTGTCAACAGAACTAGAAGCAATACGACAGTCTATGAGAACAAACCGGGGAGTAAACTGAAGCTAGCAAAAGAAGCATAACCCAACACAATGTCACTGGAGTGAAGCTTGCCGTACCAGCGTATGTGATGACTGATTGTCTACCTCGTGCAACTATACACACGGAATGAACTGATGGAGTTGTTTCTTCGAATACGGTTGACATTTGCGCGGGTGTGAGCCGTCTGTTTCGCGGAGATTGGCGATTTTCTTTATTTTTTAAAGCCTCTTTGTTGAAGCACTTTAAAGACAGATTATTGCAATAATTTTTTGTTGTTGTTGGCGATATTTAGCTAATTCACCCAAATCTAGATCTACACCGCGACGGAGTTGATTAAAGACGTGAAACTGAAAAAAAGTTTGGAACAAAATAGAGACTTGTTTTTCTGTAGCCCGAGTTCCAATACGCTAAACCAAGGGTACACGACTAAAAAAATTAGACGGGCAAAAATTACGTTTATTGAAAACTGTGCGGGCGCACACGGTGCATAATTTGAACCCGGCACATAATCCGTATGTCAAAATAAAATTCTCCTACAGAGCAAGCACACCTTAACGATTCCTACTTAGCGCACAAAGGGGCTTGTATTATACAGAAATTATTAGTTACACAATCTGTCGCGTCTCTTATAATGAACAACCTTGAAAGAAAATATTGTGTAGTTCGAACCTGTAGATTGTTATCATAACGTAAAATTTAATAGATAACTCTACGCCTAAAAAAAAAATTGTGTTGTGTGTATGTTTATACAGCCTAGAACTTGGTCTGCCTCACAGGGGCGACGAGTCTCCCAGCTGTAGATGAGCAATTTAGCCAGTGCGGTACAGCCGCTAGCCTGGGATCTTTAACGTGCACCACGCAGTAGTGGTGCACGACCGCACGCCGGTACGATGCTCATCCAGATCGAAACGGGCAGGGGTGGGGCTCGAACCCAGGATCCCTGGGTTCTGCAGCGCGAGCTTTCGCTCCACGTGCTCCGAGCTGGTGTGCGCTAGACCACTCGGCCACCGATCCCCCCCAACTCTACGCCTACTATTGGTGGCTTGAGCGAAATCAACAGCACCTTGCGGCTAGAAAAGAAAGCTGTGGAGGCAGGTTCGTTCGTTAGTATTCTTGAGAGAATCAAATATTCACCGCGCCTGGCGGTCTAACGGCGACGCCTTTACAGTACAGCGTGTTCACGAATCCGGATGAAGCCTTTAAAGTGACTGCATAAATCGACTTCATAACATATCGCGCTACGATTTACCACAGAGGTGCCCTAAGGTGCTGGAAGCGTCGCATGAAAATTTCAGAGCAAACTTACCTACCTAATAAGTAAAGAAACCATAATTCTATTTCCCTCCCTACGGCACCCGTCCACGCACCCTCTGACTGGCGCAACAACCGACAGATGGCGGCAGCGGCCCCGGCTCAAGCTTAACGCTCGGTCGCGCCAAAAGCAGACGGCATGTAGCTGAAGTTACTTGACGAACCATCGGTTTTATTTGTTTTGTGTCCACTTAACACGTTGTATTGAGCTCAAGCCGTTTTTCATACAAAAAAAAAAAAAAAAAAAAAAAAAACATAATCTGCTTTTGGCGCGCTTAAAGGGGTACGGAAACAAAAATTGAAATATTCAGATTTCGTTCGGAAAGGAGTCAAGCATGACGTATAATAACCATAAATGATAATCGCGCGTTTGTATTTCGAACGATTGGCCATATTTTTCGTTCCAAACGGTGCACTCGAGCAAGCGCTCGAAGAGAAGCGAACGGAGAGCGCAATGCGTCATGGGATATCCGGCGCAAACAAAAACAGAAAGAAAAGATTTCCCGCGTTCGTGGAGTAGCAAGGAAGGCGTGGTTATGAGCTTTGCCCTTGGTGGCGTTGTCAGCGTTGTGATGGTGTCAATAGCGTCAGCGCGTTACAACCGAGCCGCTCGAAGTGCCCGTGGGGTGACGAGCGTGTGGCTGGCCCAAGGAGCACGTAGCTTCCACAACACTGTCAGCTTAGGGCTGAACGAGGTGGGGAAAGCAACTTTTGTTCGAGTTTTGAGCGACGTGCTAATCTTCTAGGGGGAGAATGACTATGTCCGGCTGCACGAACGAGGGTCCGAGAAAGAGGGGAGTCCTTCCTTTCCGTCTTCTTGAACCGTTTGGTACAATGCGCGACTTGTGAGTTGAGGAGGAAAGCTAAGAAGGAAAATGTTGAAATACCAAAGAGTGGCGCTGCTCCGAAGGAAACTGCTACGTCACGGCTACGTAGCAGTTTCCACAACGTTGCTAGACTACCTCCCAAACAGGCTCCGCATACATCCACCAGGTGCACATTGAAGATCGTTTATTTAGCTTTAAAATTAGTTTTCTTGTGCTTTTCAACGGAAGACTGGTGTTTTTGAGGTTAGGGTGCAACATGCAACACATTAAAGCCAGAAAATGAGCGCTGAAATTTCGTTTCCCTACCCCTTTAAACCACCAAACTTTTTTTTTTTATTAGGTATGTTTGTTGTATGAAATTTTCATACGATGCTTACTTCACCTTAGGGCACCTTCTTGGTAAATCGTAGTGCGATAGGTTACCAAGCCTATTTATGCGGTCCTTTTAAAGGCTTCATCCGGATTCATAGGCAAGTTAAAGGTTGAAAAGCACGTGATGAAAATCACTTATAGTCCCGAAAATGGGGTGTCATACAGCTCATTCAGGCATTTATGTTTACAGCGAAAGCATAAGAACCATTTCAGAAATAGCCACAAAAGTTTGGCCAACTTGTTAAAGTCCGTTATTTTTCAAGGAACCTTACCAGAACACATAAAAAAATTAAGGAAACATAAAGAATAACGTTGCAGTGTATCAATATATTTTCTGGGACGTCTTATCAGTTGACCCGAACCTACAGTTCCATCATTTAGTCATGGAGTTATTTAATGTGAAGGGATTTTAATGGGGACACAGCAACATCAAGGCAAACATAAATACACGCAATTGAAACAAATATATCAAGCTAGAATCATACCAAAACATCACTAAGGTCAAACGTAGGTACAGTCTTTTTCAAAAGTTTAGAGCCCAATCTCAAAGCCAGTGAGTGCCGACGACAAGAGCGCCGCTGCACGGGAACTAGACCGCTCCGGCCACGCGCAAGGTGCGCTGTAAACTTTTGAAAAAGACTGTACATGCGTGCAGGCACGCCATATGCACAAGTTCTTCGCCGTGTGTTATTGCACTCACGTAACTAGCTTTTGGGAACAGATTAAAAAAAAATCGAATCAATCTTTTGTTTTTAGACTACGTAAGGTCGGTCTTCTTTTGCGGCATGGAAAACTCATTTACGCTTTAGATGAGAAGTTTAGACAGTGCAATATGACAGCTGGCCTGCCGCCCTTCACGTGCATCAGAGAGTATATTGATACTCAACCGCACGCCGGCATTCTTCTGTCTCCCTGGAAGGAATGCTTCTCCACTAACACACTCAAACTGCGGGAAAGCAGCATTGAGGAGGGCGTTAACGCGTGTTCGTTTTGTGAATCGCAAAAATTTCTAACACGCACAATCGTGCCCCTCGTGGCACTATTTTTTCAAGGAAATGTGTGTTAGCGTGAAGAGGGCAAATGGTTTTCGAGGCACCTCATAGGTGCCTAGGTTCTCTCTTGCTCTTTCTTGTATTACGGAACCGAGGGGATACCGGTTACAAATATTGCCTCAGAGCGTTACACACATGATTCCTGCTGTGGAGAGGGTATTAATTTGGGGTCCCGGTCAGTCTTGTACACGTTACTCAAAAAAAGTAATCGATTACAATTACTATTACTCTTGGCTAAAAAGTATTCGATTAGATTACTTGATTACTCAACGGCAAACGTAATTGGACATTACTTAAAGAAGTAATCGTTACTTTTCCGATTACTTTATTGTGTGAAGAAACATCTTTAGCGCTCATAACAATGAACTACTTCCAACCTATGTTTCACATTTGCACAAGTATTGAAGAAGAAAAACTGGCTCCCTCTTCGTGGTCGTTGCACATTCACAATGCGGACACAAGCATAGATTTCGTTTGAAGACGTTTAATGATTTGGGCGTTCGCCAGTGTGTGTGTGTGTGGGGGGGGGGGGGGGGGGGGGAGCGGAGGGGGTTCTAGATCTTGTTAAGCTTGAGCAAGGGTTGCCGCTCAAAGTTTGCGTCGCTCATTTTATTATTCACATGTGGATGAGCTCGCATGTTATACAAAAGAGCAGCAGCTCCAGGATTTGAAACGGATCATGTGTAGTATCCATTAGCGGAAGAGATCGCCCCGACCACTTCTCAACTCGAAACATTGCTTGTCATAAAGACCACGTAGGGGAAATGGGGAAATATTTTAACTGCCTTTGTTA